GATTGTTATTTTGTCCCCGCGTACAATTCTTATTGTAAAGACACCGCAAAAATCACCCGAATAGCCCTCCTCGCCCTTTCAACTTTTCGAGGTTTCTGACATTTCTAAATGAATGGGTTACGTTTAGTTTCACAATATCGAGCAAACGAATCTGTCTTAATTGTATATTTTCATCTGGTTTTCTATATCTTAAGCTTAATTGTAAAAAAAACGAAGTTAATTTATATTTATTACATTATTAAAATATAAAAAGTATTGCAATCATAATTAAAAGGAAATTTACCATTATCTTAACGATTTTAAATACACGCCAATCACGCGAAGTTGAGTAACGGAACGCAATTTTCGATATCAAAACACTTCCATCGAATGCATGTTGACCAATGACGTCGGTTCTCGGTTTACGTCACGCCCCGTTTTCAGGGACGCACTTGCGTATATTTTTAACGTAATTCGTAATGAAAAAGGTGTTCACTCAGGAAGCAAAAATTCATTATGTACATTACTGTCATTTTATTTTAATAGTTTTTGCTTGCGTAGATAGGTTATTGCGTACTTGGATAACAATAAGATAATACTAAAGAACAATATTGATCTGACTTATTAGTCTTAGTTACCATTAGTTATGCGTTGATCTAATTTATGTTTTTTGTAATTCATCAATTCTTATAACTGTAATTATTTATACTTTTTTTTATTTAATTAATATTCAAGTTTAAATTCCTCTCTGTAAAGTGTGCCATTTCTGCACATGTGCGCATTCAGTTCGGCGTCCAACCTTTTGTGAAAGGATGGAATAGAAATCAATAGTAATGTGTTCCTATGAGTGATTCAGGCCATTTTGATCTGCATAACATTTAACAGAGTAAGTAGTTAATAAAGACTGTAATGATCACTAGTTTAAGTCTTGTTTCCACTGCTAATCGTGTCCGTTTGTAATAATATTTTTTTAACATAATCCAACCCACGTTAACGATTTGTTGAGTGATACTGTACGTTTAATATTGTTAAATAATGTTTTGTTTCTTTTCTCAGACAATAATAACGAAAATGCGTACCGTGTTAACGCTGTTATTGCTGGCAGCTGTTGTGTATTCACAAAACATTAATAATGCTGTCGAAACGGAAATGTTTGCTGTTCCTATCACACCGAATTTATTTAACTGGACTTATCAGGGTAAGTTAACACATAATATATTTCTTTTCGATAACGTTACTGTTACCTTCGTTTTTTATGTATCTATACTATAAGTAACGTAGTGAAAATATATTTAACACAAGTAACAAATTAAAAAAATAACACTTAACATCGAGAACAGAACCGTTCGATTATTTAACTATCAAAAAATGTCGAAAAAAAATTACTAATATATCATATTCGCTCACAAAATTGTCGACCTTTCGTAAACCTCCTACTAAATAAACGCAATATGAGACATTTTATTTCTCAGTTTCCCACGTTTATGTACAGTCAATGACAAAGATATATTATGGTCTTTAGTCCCGT